GCCTGGTTATTCCACACAGTCTGTATGGTTGCCATCCCTCTCGACTACTGGAATGCTGAAACCATGAATAATGCCGAGCCCTATATATGCTGTGTCCTTCCTATACATCCAGGCCCATGAGAAGTTTAACTTTAAAATTAGGTACAGTAACAGGTTAATACCAAAGATAAAATAATCACCACTATTGGCTATAATAAAGGCATTTAATACTTATGAGTTATATATTTGTGGCACTTCCTATTTTATATTTTTAGACCATGTTTGATTGTCCATAACTAAAACTATAGGAAGCAACACTGTGAATCTGAGAAATCACCATACTGCAGCTGGACATGAAGAGTAAGGGCCCGTGTGATCCTGCCATACGTGGTAGGGGGAATTACTAGAGTAGTGGACCATGTAGCTAGTTGGTCAGTATTTCTTTTTTCCCGTGTTGGTCAGAATAACAATTCTAATTGCTTTTTATCACTTTTTGAGTCATGGGTATTTTCTTTTTCTACCTTTGTATGTGTGTGTTGTGCATGTGTTTATGCGTGTTTGCACTGTATAACTGTGCATCCTGTGTGCACACGGATATGGAGGCCCAAGATTGATGTTGAGACCCATCCACCATACCTCCTCCACCTTATTCATCAAGACAGGATCTCTCAATCAAACCCCGTGATCCTTGAGATGGCTAGCTCTGCTAGCCAGCTTGCTCTGGGGAATCCCCTGTCTCTGTCTTCCATGGCTAAAAGTAAAAGCAGGATATCATGCCCATCCAGTATTTGCATGGGTGCTTGGATTCCAAACTCCATTATTCATGCATGTGTGGCAAGCACTTCAGCCAGTACGCCATCTCCCCAGCCCTCGTGGACACTTTGACCAGAGTAAGTTTACTGTGAAGAAACCCCTTGCTTTATAACGCACGTGATTAGAGTCGATGGGAAATGGCTGCTTAGAGACAACCAGAACTCTGATGGATACAGGACGTGTAGATGTAGGCAGAGTCTTCATGTCTCATCTAGATGAGGATGCCCTCTTACACACCTAGGTCTGAGACTCTGTTAGCATCCTCAGAGAGGTCTCAGCTAGAGGAGGGGAGAAACTTGTAAACTGAACTCTCTGGGAAGGCAGGGTGGGGTGTCAGAGGAGAGAAGCTGCACTGAAGAACAGGACAGGATTCTGCCTCAATGGTTCCTATCCTGAGGCATGAAGGAGGAGGATGCTCGAAGGTGCTAATGAGGTGTGCCGAGGGAAATGGGGAGGAAAGCCTGCTTCTCTTTAGTGTCTTCTAGAACCTTGTATTTGCAAAGCTGAGCACAAAGCCTGCTTTAACTAGAGACTCTTCTCATGTTGTCCTGAGTATCACTTCATGAAAATTTGCAAGACACTCTCCTACATTTCTATAGCCTTTCTTAAATTGCTTCTTTTATTTTTCGAGATAATATAAATACATCATTTTTCCCCTTCCTGTTCCTTACTCAAACCTCTTCTATAAGCCCCTCCCTGCTCGTGTGTGTGTGTATGTGTGTGTGTGTATACATACATATATATTTTTAAATACAGCGTGGTTAGTCTATATAATGTTACTTGTACATATAATTTCAGGACTGGCCATTCATATTGGATGAACAGTTGGTGTGCTGTTCACTGGGAAGGACGATTTTTCCCAGCATTCCTCAGGTGCCTGTAGTCCTTTGTATAGGTTTGAGGCCTTGTGGGCTTTCCCCTGTCCACATCAGCATGTCTATTGTTGTTGTCCTTGTTCAGCGCATGCTTAGTTAGTCATGTTGGTGAGACTTTATGGGGGAGGGGGGTAGCTTCTGACATTCCTTGAAGACACACTCTCACAGCAAACTCCCTGATCCTCCAGCTCTTCCGGTCTTTCCGTCCCCCTACCACGATGTTTCCTGAGCCTCACGTGTGTCCACTGGAACTGGCTCTGCAATTCTGCATTTTGATTTGTTGTGATTTTTGTTTTGATTTCTTGTGATGTAATGTTCTCCATCTGCTGCAAAGAGAAGTTCCCTAAATTAAGGGTGGGGCCTACATTTACCTGAGTTCAAAACAAACATTCAGAATGTTACAGATTATATCCTGAGCCTTTCCGTGATGGAATGTGACCCGGAAGACATGAAAACCCCTCCCCCACCTGCCCTTGGTCAGAGCGCTCTGGTGCAGCAACACAGAAAATCTTCTCAAGCTTGTGGGTTCTTTCTTCTTGCCCTAAGCTCATCTGATCATTGTGGTTAATTTTACTTTTCTTTCTTTGTAATAACTCCATCTCATGTTCATACAGCATACCCTGATCTCTGTGTTTTCCTTTTACTCTTAAGTGTCTTTATGAGAGTTGTTTTAAAGTATTTGTCTATTAACAAATTTGCCTAACAACAGAGTTACGGGGGATGGGATCTGCGGCTATCTTTTGTTGTGTTTGTTTATAGGGGTCTGCGGATATGTTTTGTTTTATTTGTTTATGGCTGAATGAGATCTCCATGCCAGATGTCAATCTGAAGGAAAAGTTTAAGGTCTTTTCTGACCCTGGATATTTTCCTGGCCATGCCTCATAGCTTTCTAACTTCTGGAGATCCAATTACTTTTAAATGACTTAATCCCTAAATGTCTGGCACATATCTATCTATCTATCTATCTATCTATCTATCTATCTATCTAATTTATTTATTTGAGGCAGGGTCCCTCTATGTAGTCCTGACTGTCCTGGAAACTGACAGGCATTAAGAAGGAAAAATCATGCAGGGTAGCTGATCTTTGAAAATCCCTGGAAGCCATGTCACCTGCTGGGGTCTTCAACAGCATCAGCTCAGTGGTCAGAAGCACAGTCGACACTTGGAGCACAGCGGCTGGATATTTGGCGAATGAGGCTTTTCTTACATCCCAGTTCCATCAAGATCTTGCCTGTCTTTCATGGCGCTTTAGGTGGAAGATGAATATTACCTTCCATCACACTAAAGGATGAAGTAGACCAAAGCTAACTATAGTGTACCAGCCAGGAATCTACAAGCTTTGACATACACTCCCACATATCAAAAGTAGTTATGGATGACAGTTTTAGCTGTCTAGATAGAGACATATCCCTGCATTGTGGATGTAGGGAGATTCCTGGGGCTTTTCTCTCTTCTGTCTTCTTTGACATCTCTCTCCCTCTCCACCACTCTTTTCTCCTCCTCCTCTCCTCCCCCCAACCCCTGTCATTTTAAAGTAATCAATCTTCATGTAGTTCAGTTCAATCTGCTATGTACTGCTGTCCAACCCAGGCTCTGCTGGAGGCACCGGCGCAGGGTTGAATTTTAATATACAATTAAGGAGAGGGGACATGGTTGAGCTTGGAACATTTTGCCAGAGGATACTGCTCTACCATGCATCCCTTCTTGTTTCCCAGTCGTGAGAACTTACCTATTACAATGAAAGTTTCCCTCTCAATGCCCCACGTGGCTTTAGGGGCCTAGTCTATCTCCGTTCCTTCTGTACTGGCTTTGTGATACAGAAACCCATTCTGTGGTATATGGTACCTGTGCCCAGAGTCCTTGGGGATATGGTGTGAGGTTGTATCTATCTAGGTTCATGATATGACCACTTCTCCGAGATGTGCTTGCCTGGTGTTCTAGGCAGAAAACAGAACGTGGGGTCCACCCTTCAGATCCCTTCAGCACTTAAAGAACTGGCTTTTCTTAACTTGACCCCTCGAAGAGCCGTCAGTATGTAATTTTCCCAACCTTTTCTTCTGTAGAGGAAGAAATTCTTTAGTGTGTGTGAGGCTGATGGGGACCTGCAAGAGGCCTTTCCTTCTACCTGGCATATTGTTCCCATGATGCTTTGTTATACTATAAGCAGTGGACTCATCCTCTCCACCAGATGTTTTTATAAAGTTTTATTACAACACAGCTGAACCCTTAATTTTACATGTTGTCTCTGCCTGCTTCTATGCCAGTAGCAGTTGCTGCAATAAACTGTGTGGCTCACAAGACCATAGCTACTTATTCTCTGGCCCTTTTATGGAAAAGGCTCATTGATCGCTGGTGTACATTTTTAATAAAGACTTTCGCCATTCTCTATTCCTACATCTTTCCTCTAAAACCATGATCACAGGGTGGCCTTTAGACATGATGAGAGACAAAGGGAAGGAAAGAAATACCCAACCCTCAATACTTGGTTTGTGAGTACAGCGTACAGGTACCAGACATGTGACGTAATCTTTCTTATGCTGAATTTCAATAAAAAGCAAGTAGGCAGTGTGTCATCTCATGACCGTGGCACCATGGAGATGTATGGGACCCTTAAGCTTGTCTAGGTCAGAGTCCCTCAAGGAGCCTTGGGGCCTCTCAAAGAAGCTAAGCAACGCCACACTGTGGCCAACCCAGCCAGCATCCCACCATTCTGTTTTAATGAACCTTAAATTTGTGCACTCTGCCAGGGAACACAGCCCGTTCTCTAGAAATGCTTATCATCCAGTCAGTCTAGACATGACACCTAGGAATCCAGACCACAGTATTAACCTCACACTTGCAGAGCTGAGACTTAACTGGCCGATATCTAGGGACCAACCATGCATGAATGTATTAATCACCCCAGTTTGTTATAAAGTAAATAAGAACTCTTTATTCCCCCTAAAAGTTGGAAACTTCTAGAATATATCGAAGAGTATTTTATACTCTTTATTTATAGTGACTTTTTTTTAAGTAACAAAATTTCCTTTGGGATGTTCAAGGTTACACATGACCAAGTCTTAAACCTGGATAGAAGATACAACTTTTGGGTCTTGCTGAACTGATACTCACTGTATCCTGTTTCTAGATGACTTTTTTTTTTTTTAGTCTTCCAGTGTAATTTTCTGCTGAACACACTTTAGCATGGTATGGGGCTGGGCCTACCCAGATGTGATCTATATGAGAGACCCAGTTAGTCTGGAAACCTTACCCACACCTTCCTAGCGACAGTCCAGTACCTCTACTGTTTCCACTAGACCAGCTGGCTAACACGGATCGTCTTCTTCTTTCTAGCCCTGGGCCTGGAGGCACACACTGCCAGGGTGCCAGCGTAGAACATGCTGCCTGTGAGAACCTGCCTTGCCCCAAGGGTGTGCCCAGCTTCCGGGACCAACAGTGCCAAGCCCATGACCGACTGAGCAGCAAGAAGAGAGGCCTGTTGACAGCAGTGGTGGTTGATGGTAATGGCATGTGGCCCTTCCTTTCAATGTAGCCTCACTCACTCTTTTCCCAAGGACTGTAAAACCCAGTTAGGGATGCTCGTAATCCTCAACTCCCAGTCCAGCCCACCTGAGAACACTTCTGTCCTCTGCCTAAGTTAGTCATGGTCCTGCTCCTATAATAGTGAAGCTGAATTCTAACAACTTGAGATCTCTCACAGAGGCCATAAAGGCAGACAGCAGGCTAGATTCATGTTCAGCAGGGCAAGTATGCTAGCATATGTTTCCCACTATGCTATGTTCTGAGGTGCCAAGAGTAGAACGGTGTGTTTTGAGTGTGTGCCATTTTGCTTCCCTGAGCTCACTTGGGTTGGCTTTACTCTTTGCCTGGAGTACTTGGAAGACTTTTGAGAACCGTGTACAATATAGGAAAGAGGGTAACCAGCACAGGTCTCATTTTCTTTCTAAAAGCTTTCTCCAACACCAGGAGACTATGCCATAAGCTGCCACTATGTTTTCAGTCCACAGAAACAAGTCTAGGTGTTGGGCCATGTCTCCATAGAATCTGTGATTTCTGGTCATTGTAGGTAAGGACAACCCAAGGCCTAGTCCAGAGTGTTGGGGTTTTGCCTAAAACTCTTCCCCTTTAAGAAACAGGACTTTGTATTGTAATACTGACAATATGGTCCCATGTATCACGCATACCAATAGCCAGGCACATGTTAGATCCACATTCACTGTCTAAGTATGCAAAAGAAGCTGTTGAGGATGAGAGGTGACAGGCTATGTGATGTCTAAGCTCCAGCAGCTGACAGAATTGACTCAGAGACTAACTCACTGACTCTTGGTACCCAAATACTCTGGCAGGAAGGAAGAAGTCACAGGCACAGTAAAGAATCCTTAGAAGTAAAGCAACTGAATCTGATCTCTATAACTTCCAAGTGGTTTTCAGAAGAATGAATTCTCACACCAAGTCTTGGTCTTCTTCCCCATGAAATCCTCACCTGCGATTACAAGTTCACATGCACCTAGTTGTTTTGTGGGGGGAGCCCAGATATCCCCAGCAACAGCAGTTTCTGATCTGCCACTCTTAGCTCTTACCCCAACAGTCTGACCTCTCAGTTTTGAGCTAGCTTGTAAAATAACACATATTGTTTTCAACAGTACCTGCCTACCTGGTGACCTTTGAAGTAATTGAAAGCTCATTCCCCAGACAATTTTTCTTGTATTTGAAAAGATAACTCCTTGGTGGGGGTTGGGGGCCATAATGATGACCATGCTGTCACTTAGCCAGCAGAAGTCAGGAGGAGCTTAGCTTCCGCATCCCCAACTTTCCCTGAAGAAAGAGATGAGATGACACTTCCCTCTCCCAAAATAAGAGGTGCTGTTGGAGGCACCCTTACTTTTATATCTTGGCATTAAAGCGATGCATGAGCAGCCCAGAGGCTCCCAGCCACCTCAGGCATATTCAGACCCCTGATTGGAACCAATACATTACCAGAGACAGCGCTGTGTTCCAGGACAGCAGCTTGCTGTGATGGGAACTGCTCTGGTACCAAGCCTTCCATTGTCTCCAGAGAGCCAGGGAAAGATGGTTTGAGGCCTCTTTTGTCCTCTCCTCCTTTCCTAGAGACAGAAGGCATGAGGGCTGAGATACCCTCACCCCTGGAACATTTCCTTTCAGCTCTCTGTGTGTGTGTGGGGTGGGGTGAGTTTTTTGTTGCTTGCTTGCTTGCTTGCTTTGCTTTTAACCAGTCTTGCTTCAGGTATTCAGGGTGGAAGTTCCACTTGAGTATCTCCATCTTAAATTTTATTAACCACTAACCTCTTTTGCATGGCTGAATGTTTTGGTTCCCTTAACATCATGGTAACTAAGACTGCTGTCTCCCTCATGCGGAGGCTCCTTGAGAACCTTGACAGATCTAAGATACATTTTCTCACACATTGGTCTCTTGTTCCATTCTACCCACGTAACAAGTAATTAGACCTAACAAATACCTTGACCTGAAAGGGCCAACCATATTTGATAAGACTTACAGAGTGGAGGTGTTCAGCCTTTGAAGGCAAGACCTCTGGTTCAGGGCTTTGTGAGGGTAGCATGACCCAATGTCCTCTGTGGTGAAATTGCCACGACTTCTTACGTATGAGGTTCCATTTCTCTCAGTACAAACAGAAGCCAGCATTTTTAACAGCATTTCAGAAGGGCAATAACGCAATAATAAATGGCTGATTCAGGCGGCTGATGATAAATGTTCCCCTGAAACCCCTCTGTCTAAAAGGCACAGTTGTAGCTGAGCTGTGATAGGAGTGATCCCTGTGGCTGGGCTCTGACTTCTCACAGCCCATTATAACTGCCCTATTCATAGCACTGCTATCGCTGCAGAATTCTTTGGCGAGTGACGCACAATTCAGTAAAGGGGAAGCAGTATTTTCTCTTTTTTCCCTTTCCCTCTTTCAAAAAGAATTCTTGCAGAGGTAGACTTTCCAAAGGAGGACTCGGGACCACAAATCCATTCAACCTCCAAAGGAGGACAAAGACTCTCCTCAGAAAAGATCCCAAAGAAGAAAAGCCTTTAGACAGAAACCCGCTGAGGTGGACCCTTGCCAGATGTGTTTCTGCTTTCCCTGGGGGAATCTTTTTCACAGTAGAAACATCCAAAGGTTCAGACCCATGTGACCAGGCCAACAGCAGGCTCCATTCCCACAAAAGTGTTGGAAAGCTGTATCTGGACAAAGTGGCTTTTTCCCAGATCCTTTGCTTCACACACGAGACATCTCCCACCCTCCAGTCTGAGTGTCTGAGCAAACACGGGATGGGAGGGTCAGAGCCATGACTGCTACTCAGCCAAGTGGCCCAGAGATGGAGCAGCATTGTGACAAAGATGAAGGGTGTTCCCAAAGGATCAGTGAGGGGCTGGAACCAAGATATCTGAAAACATTAGGCCCTTCTTCTATGGCCTCCAGGAGCCCTGCCCCAATGCAAGCTGCCTTTCTCTAAACCTTCTCTTCAAACAACCAACCAGAGGAATCCACAGTTCCGATTAAGTAAATCTGTGGCACATCTCCGAATCCTTCGAGGTCACTTATGGCTCAGAATTCAAAGCTCTGTAGTGTTTGAAAGTCAATGATGGCTCAGTAGCCACATATTATCATCCCTGCTGGCACCCAAGAGGATACATGGCAGCCTGCCGGGGGCGGAGCAGGGAGGGGCCCTAATGAGGTAGGTCCTCATTTCTGTCAGGAAAGGCTGGTTTTGCAGCCTGATAGTTTGCCACACATATAAGAAAACACTCATTTTCAGAGCTTTGCATATTTCTGAATTATAAATAAGATAACCTAGCCTTCTCTGAGACCCACCAGCCATGAGCCAGAACCTCTCTGTGTCACGGAGTTTCAATGTTGAGTTATCAGGGAAAAGACTTCAGTTATTCTGGCTGTGGTAAGTGCTGTCCCGTTAACTGAGAGCCATCTGGAGGGTCTAGCTACTCCAGAAGAAAGACTCTGATTGGTCTCTTCATAGTCAGGCGGACTTTACTGATCTAATCAGCTAAAGCCTGGTACCTGGGGACTGGTTATGAAGTCCTGATGGACAGCTTGTGGGAGAGAAGACTGAGGAGCCAAGACAGAAGACAGCACTTAGACGATCATTCATTCTGGCCTCAACATTAACTGATCTCTGCCTTAAAAGTAAAGACAAAGTAAGACTTTGTAACCGAGTCCGAGAGGGCTGTAAGAACAGTGTGAGCCACAGTGTCCGTGTTCCTTCTGGTGCTCGGGAGGAATTCCAGACCTCTAAGCTGATGTAATCACCAGCTCTCAAACCTCAGAGTCCAATCTTTCTTGCCCTGGCTGTGGCTTCTGCTTCCTCTGGTCAGTCAGAAGCCCTTGCCAACAAGCAGGTCTCTGAGAAGCCAGACAGAAGCCTCAGCCAGAGTTCATCTAAGCACACACCATCCATGCAGGAGGCATGTTCTAGGCATCTTTCCTTGCTGTGGGTGGCTGTACAGCTTTTAAGATTTCATCCCTTCCCTAGGAGTATGGGATGTAAGAGTTCTCACACTGTGCTCGAAGCTGAAACCCACCACCTCGTGCTATTTAAAGGGATCTTTTCTCCTGGAGACTTAACTTCCCACTCACAGCAACCTGGAGGGGACCATTCAGAGAATTTGGAGGAGCTCTGAATCCCATTCTCTCAATCCCTTAGGGAGAAAGAACCCCCTTGGAGAAGATGGACAAATGCAAGAAGTTGTAGCCATAGTCAGAGGCAGGTAGAGCTCTGGAGAAGGCCTTCCCTAAAAGATCATGGCCAACATCTGTCCCCTGGAGTTACCTCCCCTGATTTAATGACTCCACATCTCTGAAATCTCTACCAAAGAACCAAAACTTTTATCCCTTTCCATGCTGGAACTTTCTAGACTCCAACTTTCCTCAGAAGAGCTTCTGCCTTTCTGCCAAACCCCATTCCCATTTCTGTTCAAACCTGAGCATACACTTAGAAACCATAAATATTTATGAACACTGTGGTTTGGTTTGGGTGGTACCATTTTATCCCTTGGTATTTGGGGCCCCAAGGGTGCCTCGGCCAGAGTAAACACTGATGGTCAAAAGAACATCAAGATGGAACAAAGCAGAGAGTGGCTGTTCCTGTTGGAGGACTGTATGTATCCTGTGAGCCCCATGCTCATCTGCACTAAATGGGGTAGGCATCATTTAGCATGTGGTTTGGCATGTAGATGATCATAAATATCTATGACTTTTTTCTTATTTCATCATCATCATCATCACTGCTGTCAAAAAAATCCATTGGCCCTCAGTGTTGAATTAACATGTTAATCCAAAGGAAGTTAGGACCCATACTTTTGAGCTACTTTTTCACAATGAGACCTTAGTGCATAGAATGCACCACTGGTGTGTCATAGACACACAAGACCGTTCAGACTGCAGAGCTGGGTTGTGCCCCGAAGGCGCTCACAGAGAGTCTCAAACCCCTGATGACCTCTCATTAATCCCATCCAATAAGCTTCCTAGGAGTTGACCTCAGTTTCCAACACCGTCTTTCTTAGTTCTTCTATCACTGGCTGCTTTCTTGGGTCACTTTCTCTAAATGAAGGGACAGCCACTTCCAGCTGCTCACGAAGAAATGAGGCATTCCATCTAGAGCAGGCACTGTCCTCCTTGTGCTCATAAAAGACTCATGCCATGTGACCTGTCTCATGCAAAGGTCACCACACCTGTTCATCAAACAGATAGGGCCTCGAGAACATGTACCACTCATTGCCTGTTTTTAGCACTGCCTGTGGAGTACTTGGGGTATGGTGCTCCAGCCATGCCAGTAAATAACTTGCCTAGGAAATTTAAGACCTCCAGTCTACTCTTCAAAGTCAATTATTTCATTTACGACTAGATAGGAGAACTGAGTTGAGCCTGAATACTGGAAACTGTTTTTGTCATACTCTCAGGTGACCTCCCATAGAGCTGGGTCATCATGGGCCGTCAGGCAGACAGGAAAAGCCTTGAGATTGGGTAAGATGGCTTGTCTGCTATGACAAGCCCTCTCCAACAGGGATGCTGAGACCTCCAATGCCACATCTGCTACCAAACCCTTTAGACCCCTGCCAGAGACCACCAAAAGGGGCTCACTGGGGAAGGCTGATGCTGGAGACAGCCCAACAAGGTAGCATAAAGTCTCTGTGGCTCTCTCAGGATTTCCTTTCAAAATAGTCTGACAAATGGATCAGGGCAAGGTGGCAGAGGAGGGGAAAAAAAAAGATGCATTCCTCTTATTCAGCCAGTTTCAGAGATGAGGTCCATTCATTTGTTCAAATACATTTTAAGTCTCATGAACTTACGTTCCAGTTCTGGGCTGGGAGCAGAAGATACAAGCATGGTCCCTTGGTGCCTAAGGGTTTCCATACTTCAGTCTGAAGGTACAAGTCAAAAATCCTTCTTGCATCCAAAATATGTGCAATGATAAGCCTTTCAAACTGGAAATCTTTTGGACTTGACAATATTTGTATATACAGAATGAGCTAGCTCTGTGGCAGGACACAGTCTAAACATGAATTTTATTTATGGCTTATATACATGTTATATACATAACCTAAACATAATCTTATAATTTTAATTCACCTATGTTTTGGCTGCATTTATCACACGAGAGGTGTAGAATTTTCTCTTTGGAATGTCATGTGAGAGTTCAGAAGGTTTGAGAACGTGAAGGGTTTGTTTTGTTTTGTTTTGTCTTGTTTTGTTTTGTTTTGTTTGGATCCTAGAGTCTTTAGTATTTATCAATTGAACCTGCCTTATAAGGAAAACCCTTCATGCCTAGGATTTGCTCAAACAATTCTAGACCTCCAAGCCAATGGCTATATATACCAAGTGCACATGGAGAAGCCTGCCTGATCCCATGTTAGAGTGACAGAAGAGAAAACTCTGGGTTGGAAGCTTCTAGGTTGATAGGAGCCTCCTACAAAGACGTGTAGAAAGAGACATTTGCAGGCAGAAGGAACAGCATAGACAAAGCCAGAAACTTAATGTGGTCTATAAGCTCACATTGTCCCAGAAGCACTGGGAACAGGGACTTATTTCTAGCTGCTGACCTGGCTCTCATGAGTAGTCCCAATGGTCTCTGTGTCCCCTTCCTAGACCTTCACTCAGATTCTTCCAGAACCGTGAGGCCTTGTATCACAGCTCTACTGCCCCGCAGCTGGACAAGTGAGGGACAGAACTCTGAAACATTTTTAGTGGACACACACTAGCACTCTTAGGGAAACAACTGTCACAGAGACCCGAGGGGCCTCTTGACCCCTACCCAGGGCATTCTTGTTCACCCTCCCCTACTTTCCCACCTTACTGTAGCAGGCCCCAGCCTCAGCCTTGACACACAGTCACTTAAGCACAGGCAGGCTAACTCATAGCCTTTGTGCAGCTGCTGTGTCTATTGACTGGACGAAGAGGGAATGTCCTGTATCTGCAAAGGAGGAGAACCAAGAGAAGGAAGCCCACAAAGCTGTCTGCTCTGCCATTTACTGAGGCAGGGGCTCCTGATCCGAGTGTCATTTTTAAATGTCCTCAAGTATTGAGGACAGAGCTGAGTGACTGGGATCTGGGCTCAGTGCTCACTTGAGCTTGTCCATCCTCTCTCACCCCGCCTCCCACATTTTCCACATATCCCTTCCCACATAAACACCCACCAACCTTTCCCTCCTCAGATAAACCCTGTGAACTCTACTGCTCACCCCTCGGGAAGGAATCCCCGCTGCTGGTGGCTGACAGGGTCCTGGATGGCACACCCTGTGGACCCTACGAGACTGACCTCTGCGTGTATGGCAGATGCCAGGTGACCTGATTTTCCTACTGTCCTTGGTGGGGCTGTGGAGAAAGGTTCCCTCATCCCCAAACTGGATCTATGATGGATCTGGGGCTTTTGTGGGTCCATGGGGAGGAGGTTTTCTCAAAGAGGTCTTAGCTGTCCTACGTGGCCAGTGGCCACCGGCAAATGCTCTGCCCTTGAAGCAACTGAGCATTATGTCCATGGTAGGCTTAAGTGGCTGAAAGATCAGCAGCCTCTTGAAATTATCTGAAAATTCCTCTAGATATCGTGCTTTATACAAAGACCTGGTGTGCATGAGATAGGACCGGAGAATAAGCAGACAGCATACTCTGTTTACTTACAAACACTTAACGGAACTAAGCAAGCACCTTTGCACAGTGTCCAGGGAGGGACATCTGAGGAGCCCTCTACCCTCTGAGCCATAGATCCCCAACTTGTGACTTGTTATGAAATTGACAAATAGCCAAAGCAAGGAAGATAAAGCTCAGGTAAGGCAACCTCTGCCGGCAGGGCTCATCTCCTTATGACTCCACTCCATCTGAGCGTGCAGCCTGAGCAGAGACTAACCCTATCAAGCCGGCTTTACACAATGGAACTTTCCCACCATGCTGGGGGCACAGAAAGCCAAGGTCTCAACACTGGGCATATTTCACATCTGGAGAGGGCTCACTTCTCATGAACAGCTTCTTTTTGTTCCATCCTCTCAAGATGGAGGGGCAAAAGCTGCTCTTGGGGCCTCTTTTAGAAAGACACTAACTCCATCTTTGGACATTCTGCCATCAGGATGTGATCAGATCCCAATGGCTCATTTCCTAATAATATCACCTTGGGGCGATGGGAATTGGGAGGATACAAGCCTTCAGTCCAGTGTGCCCAGCCACTGTCACCCTGTACCTCTACTGTGTCCCTGTCAAGTGAGCCTATGAAGAGCTGTTGGAGGAAGACACAGATGGAAACTCAGTATCTCTGTTAGCTCCTGCAGCAAACAGTTTCAACCTAAGTAGGTTTTCTTCCTGGATAGCCCAAGGCAGTCACATGGGTTAATCTTTCAAGGAAACATATCCTGGCGTTGTATCTAAACAGATAAACTGAGTGCTCATGAGTCTTAGCAAAGACACCTCCCAGAAACCAAGAAGTGCTTGAGCAGGCCCTTCTGGGATACTTTATTGTAGCAAAAAATGTTCCAGGCCCTGTTCCTGGACAGCACGAAGAAAGCCTTTATCATTACTACTGAATCAAAGCATTGCTGACAGTTCTCAAGAAGCCTGTTAGTGGTCTCTGTTTCCTAAATTCCATGCTTGCCTGGATCATCCTGCATGTTGGCATATTGCAAAGCAGTGATGTGATTCTTTTGCTGGCAGCTTTACAAGTCGGAGCTCTTGTACCTTTTAGGTCAGTGCCAGCTGAGCCACCCTGGCCCCTAGCAGGCATCTGCATCAGTAGTCTTGCCAGCAAGGAGGTTCTTCTGAGAATCCTAACATTCTCCAGCCAGTGAAGCCTGTGCTCGTGCTGAGCATAGCTTCAGTTCCTGATAGTCTGTGCCCGTAGGCACATCCGTGGAACTGGATCTAATGTCAGGCTTTTCAACTTGAGAATGTCCCATGTACTTTGACAATAGATTTCTCAGATCCTTGCCCAGATGTGGACCCTGCATGCTACAATAATGACCCACACTGGGAAAGTTGGCCCAGAGGCATAACAGTGGCATGAATATTATGGGCACAAACAACCACTTCCGGATTGTATTTAAAACTTCCTCCACAGGAGAAAGCAGATCCCTGGTACAATATCTGATTCAAAGCCTGTGACATGAAAACTCACAGGTCTCAGAGGTAAACCTGCTACTATTATTTTGCTAAATAGAGTATCAAACTGTCTTCTAAATGTATGTCTCTATGCTCGTAGATAGTGGAGTACTTAGTTCTCATTGGAGACTGTTCTTTGTACAATGGACTGTGGTTAACACAGAAGCTCATATCTGCTAAAAAGGGCAGAGAACAAGCATCTGTAGAATCCTCAGCCACTAATGGGACATCCATCTCATCCCTCTATCATCCCTCTGAAGGCTCAGGGAATACTGCAGAAAAATTGTAAGAGTCAAGTACAGGGAGAAACGTTACAAAGCAGTATCTTCCGGACAAGATGGGACCACTACACTCAAACTTAAGTAGCTGTGGTTGTCTGTGCAAGATCTTCATGAGATCAAGTCAACTGATGTTATAGCATAGAGGTAGGAGGGATTTGTGAAGCTCCCACCCCTGAGGAGCTATTGACCATAGATGGCTTCTGAGGGGAGGGATAGAGAATCCTTTTCTCTAAGGATATGGCCATGCTCCAGTGGATGGCACCACACCCCAACAAAAATTTGACTCCATGGAGTATTGTTTAAAGGTTGAGAGAGGGAAAGTTAGGAGAAAATAGGGACGTGGGGGAGAATCCCGGAGGAATGAGGAGTCAATATGAACAAAATATAGTGTATGAAGTACCCAAAGGATTAATAGAAATATATATTTAAATTCCAAAATAGTCCTGAAGAGAAAGAAACAAAACCATAAAGAGCTAGTATATGTGAAGGAGAAAAAAATAAAAACCCCTGCCCCAGGAAAGCCAGTGAGGGGGTCATGACTGAGAGCTGAGAAGGACTGAACAAGGCATCATGGCAGCTGCTGGAGAGAAGACAGCCTTGGAGAACCCTGGTGGAGCTAAGAGCAGAGATCTCCCACCAGAAGAGGGCAAGAGCAAAGCTGCCTCAGTCAAGGCGTGAAAACTCAGGGTAGTGGAACGTGGGAGACAGGCCTGATTTGGGGGGGATCAGATGCAGGGAGAGTTTGGGTTTACTCCAAGTGTGATCAAGAGATTAAAGGAGAGGCAAAGCATTCTTGGTCACTGGAATTGGCTGGGCTGGAGCCTGAGTAGACTAGACTGTTATAGAAACTCACCTTGCTGGGAAGAGCTGGGGTGCTTGCAAGACAGACTAGGAGGTGACCAGATTCAGGATGCATTTGGAGAAAGGAGTTAGACTTTAGCAGTACCGTGATCAAATACCTAAAAAGTCCACCTCAAAAGAGGGAATACTTAGTTTATCTCACTTTTATAGGCTTCAGTCTACCATGGCAGGCAAAGCTTGGCAGAGCCAAGCAGTTCACACCAGTGTCAAGAGACAACACCTATGCCGAGAGACAATGCCTATGCTAGACTTTCTGTCTCTTCCTCTTTTATTCTGTCTGAGCCCTTCCTTCACCTTGGAACGTCCTGGGTCTCCTCTGTTGGTTAATCCTCCCTGGAAACACCCTCAGGCTTGATTTACCAATCTCCTGGGCACTTCTCAAGCTAATCAAGATGACAGTATTCACCATGGGGGAAGACAAAATGAGCTGGTGAGCTTTGGGTAGAAGTTGTACAGAGTCGGTGTGCATACGTTGGGCTATAGCATTTCATAAGTCATGGGTCTGCTCCTTGAGTCTTCAGATGGAGATCAAGATAGCACTGAGATCAAAACAACAGTGTGGTGGCTCATATCCATCCTGAGCAAGAAGGTTCTGAACCAAGAGTGGCCTTGAGCATAGTAAAGTAGACAGTGGATGTTATCTGGAGACCAAAACACCAGGCTAGGCAGATATCTGGGTATTGTCAAATAGCTTAGAGATTTCAGGCTAGGATGGTTTGCTTATCATTTTCAAGCCGTACTGGTAATGTCTGACTAGACAAGTCAGACTAGAGCAGCTTTGGAGATCAAATGATCCTCTAAATCCAAACACTGTCCAGAATTCTGAAAAGGTTACACATCAGACTCTTGGGACTATACGTGTATGGTAAGTAGAAGAATAATTGGGCTTGAGACTTTTGGTTGTTGAAGTCTACAAAGAAGGTAAAATTACTAAGAAAATCAGAGAAAAGCAGAAGGTTGGCTCAAAGTTGGCACATACTCAGCTGACCATGCCCAGGCAGCTGGAAAAGTGAGGAGAGAAGAAGTCACAAGAGCTGGGAAAGAGACAAGAGCCATAACACTGATACATTTGCTTATTTCCACCTTACTATCTCTTTCTTACACAGATTTGTCCTCAGGTTAGACACAGTAGTCATCAATAAAGGCATTGGATGGACTCTATCTATAAATAGATTTGACTAACTTTAAATGCAAAATGCTTCAGAAAAAGTTGCATTTTTCCTGAACATATGCAATTTTTTTCTTATCATTGCTAAGTTATCAAATTATTATTTAATTACAAACAATATAAAATTATTTATATAGCATTTACATGTATTCATCATCATATCTACTCCAGAGACAAGTGAAAGCAAAAGAATGTGTGCAGGTTTTGGATAAATACTACATCATTTTCTGTAAGGGACTTGAGCATCCCTGGATCTCCCTATTCTTGAAAAGTTCTAGAACCAATCCTCAGTGGATACAGGGAGACAAGAATATACAAATTGGAGATAGTGTGGGTGTTATACTGTGACAAACGGTAAAGAGAAGGTCAAAGAAGAGGAGAAGGAGGACAAAGCCTCAGCCATTAGGTGTGCTGACAGGAGGCTGTTTGCTGCTGGCAACAGGGCAAAACTTCGAGGCCTGGAATCCAGGATTTAAATCAGTAGAGACCAATACTTCTCATTCCTGGGGCAAAAGATGTCTTCTGCACATGGCCTGCACATGGCACACTCCTGCATGTGGCACACTCGTGCACATGTTTCTGAACTAGATCTCTTTGAACTGTAAGTCTGCATGTAGTACAGGAACTGCCTTGACCAAAGAGAACTTGTGCATAGCTTGCCAGTTCCATGACATCTTGCACTTTTCGTTATGCCACGAAGCACTCTGGTCCCTGACTTTTCCAGAAGAGCAGCACTCTGGCCAGCATAGATTGGCTAGGAATTTGGGAGCTCAGAAGTGGGTGTCCTGAAGATTCCTTAAGGGTAAATGAAAGAGTAGCCCAGGACCGGCAGAATGCCGTGGGAAGGCTTTAGACCACTGACTGTTGGAGTTTCCTTGGGTCATGTTCTCTTGGAACACTGAGGCTCATAAATGCAGTTGTTAAAGCTCCACTAACACTCAGAAGTCATGACTTTAATTGTGCTTTATGGTCGCTTCCATTTCAGAAGAATCATGTCTGTCCCTGCCAAACATATTATAGACTTCTTTCACTGACTTTAGCAAAGGGAGAAAGTGTCCTCTTGGCAAAGTGCTTTGGCTGTTGCCCTTCAGGCTTCATATTTGCTGCTCTTCTGACAAGGATATCTCTGCAGGCCTGGCTTCCAGATGCAAATGGTGACAAATAACACAGCAGGCAGCATAGGCAGAACTGGGAGGCCTGTCCCAACCTGAGAACTGAGAGTCCATCTAAGGGACCATCTGATTTCTTCCTGAGAATCCAGGGTTCACCTAAGGGGCCATCTTACTTGCATCTGTTCAGCACTGATGTACAAAGCTCCCTTCACTGCTGTTGGGAGAAACTAAGGGGAGCAAGTGGGATGTTTATGTAGAACATCCAAAGCTGCTTAATCAGGAAATCCTAACTGAATTTCAAGACAAGTAGCCAGCAGTGAAGCCAGAGACTTGCCATGATAGCATGGGAGTGGATGAGAAATCACAGGAAGCCGGTGGAAGAAAGAACTACATTGGAGAACACATGACAGAGACAGGGGAAGCTGAAAGGAAGCAGGTCCAGATGACAAGGCTGAGGTGAGGGGCCTGTTCCAATGCCAGCTTGTAGCTGTACCACCAACAGCCTGGATAGTAACTGTGAGACTCCGAGACAGGATGCAGAACCTCGCGTACAGTTTTAGAATGGGATATTGGCTGAGCTTTCTGCTCTGAGCAGATTCCATGATCTGGGATGCTCTGCCTTTCAACCCTGGTCGGCTTCTATTTAGCAACGCCACAGGATAAGAAGCAAGGTATAGCATGGTGTGACCATTCCCCCCCTCCGGCTACCTGCTTCACCCTGAGTTTCTGCTGTGAGAAGGCAGAGGTGGATAGTCCCTACTTCTCAGAGATCTGTATGGTACCCCTGTGGGTATTTTAGGGTAGCAGGGCTCCTTTATTCCATAGTACATGTTTTTAAATACATTTGGTGTATGTTTTCAAGTACATAAATTCATAAAAAGATTAAAAAGGCAAACTAAATCTGCATTCTGGTTAAGTTTTTTTTTCTCTCCTGAATTCAATAATAACTAAAAAGTGACAGGACACCCCACCTCCCAAGCCCCGGCACACTGCCTCTCAGAGAAATCACTTGTACACGGAATCAGCTTCAAAAAATCAGCAGAGAAAAAGCTTCGACGAATCTTAAACACAAATGAACCCAGCCCTTTGGTTTTCTAGAAAATTGGATGCGACGGCATCATCGGGTCTGCGGCTAAAGAAGACAGGTGTGGTGTCTGCAGTGGGGATGGCAAGACCTGCCGTGTGGTGAAGGGTGACTTCAGCCACTCCCGGGGGACAGGTGAGTGCCGGGCCCGAGGGCTGTGGTTGTTACAGGTCACACTGACACACACTTTATATTTCATCTTCTTTGACTCGATGCTAGTGGATTTTTGTATGTGACCATTCCAATGCCAGGTCTTCCTGATCTTTCCATTGGTACCACCTTTCCTGCCATGGACTTCTTTGTCCAGAAGCAGGAGGCGCTTTGCTGGTCTGCTGCCATAGAGGACATCAGCTTATGGCATTCAGTTGGCTGGGGAGTAGTACTTCTGTGGGAGAGACTGAGGAAGAATAGGCAGTCTACAAAGCGACTCTCAAGGCCTTCAAGGGAATGAGTGAGTCTATGCTGGGCCACATCTACTTTAACTTCTACTTGTGGCTTTGCATAGAAACATGTTGGTTCAGTTTGACCTGATGAGAGAGCAGAATCATGGTTTTAAGTCCTGCCTTGCAGAACAATCCATAGGATAAGGCAGAATCTGAACTTCCTGTGTGGATAGAAATCTTGGTCTATAGGAACATCCCTTCTAGAAACTATCAAAGGGACACACTACTCCGGATCTTGTGAAAGCAAAGCCAGAGGTAATAGCAAATGCAAATTTAAATTTTAAAACAGAACTTCAGGGGCAGAAAAATGGTGCTTGCCACGAAAATCGAAGGTAATCTGAGTTCAATCCTCAGAACCCACATGGTAGGAATAGAAAACCAACTCCCACAACTTCACATTTGACCTCTACATATGCACTTTGACACATCCATATGCACACACGTCTGTGTACACACACACACACACACACACACACACACAATGTACATACACATGAATGTTTTTTAAAAAGTTGAAGACGTCTGAAGTTGACACCCATCACATTGCTTCAGAAGGAAACAGAAGCTACCACTAGGATGAGTTCATTTGGGAGGACTTTGCCCTCTGGACCTGAACTGTCAAGTGCAAAATGCACTGGCCTTTTAAGTCCACCCAAATTTAAATCATAACCAGCAGAAATTAAACTAACTTAGGAATGATGACCACGATTCAGGTTCCCCACTGCCAGCAGGGCTGGTGCGTCTTGGGTCAGACGAAGAGCACCCTCGTTGTCATAGAAGGTTTCCTTGGGCAGCATAGCACTAAAACTTAGCTGATTGCTCTTTGCTTCGGTGTATCTGATACTGTCTCTCCTCTGGGCACCCTGAATTTGCCTTGTATGGTTATCACCAAAGTCGGAAATAAAATCTCAACAGTTGGCAAGGGGGTTACAATTTAATATTGATTTCTTTTGATAAATATAATCATTAAGACCCTTATTTAAAATCATCAAGATGGTTCAGCTGGTAACGAAAGGCACTTGCTGCCAAGCTCGATGACATAGGTTCAATCCCTCATGGTGGAAAGAGAGAACTGACTCCTAGAAGTTGTCCTTTGACCTCCACATGCACACTATGACAAGCATGTGTTTGCACACACACACACACACACAAAACTGATGATGATGGTGATGATGGTGATGGTGGTGATGATGGTGATGATGGTGATGATGATGATGGTGATGGTGATGGTGGTGGTGATGGTGATGATGATGATAAGTAGATGCCTCATTTAAATGGAAGGTTATGCTGTCCCTCAGTTGTCAGAACTCAGTGCAGTTGCATCATTCTGTATTAGATGGGTTGAGTACTGCAACACCCGCCACTTGACGAGTTCAATAGAACATTAAAGAAGGTTCTCCCATAACTTTTGGAATCTTCTACCATAGTAGCTCACTTGTCAGACAGCCTAGGTCAGGACAGATGCATTAACCTTTACATAGCAGCATCCTTCCTCCTGCCCTCCTTCCTCGATTTACCCAGTCAGTGCTGGGCTTCGTCTGTGTGCCCTCCAGAGGAGGACGGGCTTCTGTGGCTGTAGAATAAGTGTCCCCTGGAAGGAAAATCCTATGGGGAACTTTGGGGGTAACTCTCATCAGAACTTTCAGCTTGATATGCTTACTTCTAGCTGCTTGGGGTACAGACCCCATAACAAAGCTTCAGGGAAGGGAAGCAAACATTAGCGTCATCGACCTGTGAGCTTGTCACTTCTGAGCAGCTGCCAAATGACACACATTAGTATCAAAGTCAAGGGTTTGGCTTTAATTTTTAAACCCTTTACCGTCAGAGTCTGTGAGGTAAGATCACATCAGTATGGACTTTGTTTATTGAAAACCTGTGTGTAAATGAAAACTTGTTCATTTGCATGTGTTTAGCTATTGGCCGCTTAGGATTTGATGTGCTAGGGTACATTCATGCAGAATACAGACACTGGGTCAATGCATACTGCCTCCCCACCCCACCCCACCACTGAGAACATTTGTTTGGCATGCATACATTTCAACATCAGATATACAGACCATCAAAGTTACAGTCATGACATTAGTCACAGTCGAGGTGAGGCACCTGGCCAGGGCCCGTGTATACATCAGTTATAAAAGGTGACTGAAGACATTGGCAGCCAGGTGGAGAGAACACACTTCTGGCTAAAGGTAAATCCATATATTTGAATGAGACTCAGCAGAGAAATTTGATGAAGGTCAAGGGCATTTGACATCTTGGTGACCCCAATCAAGTAGATTTGCTAATCTTGCTGGTATAGATAGGAAGGCAGCTTTCATCTGTGCCCAGCTCCGAGGAATGGAAATGGGAGGAATGCCTTATCACCCTTCAGGGTGGGTATCAAAGAGAAATGCCATACAGAGAGATAAAGCAACATCAAACGCAGGAACTTTGCCAGGTCCTGCGTGAAGGCCTGACCCCAGCCTGAACTCTCCCAGGTCTGCTTACAAAAGCCCCTGAGCTGGGAATCCAGGGTAGATGCATACAGTGCCCTAGATAAGCCAGAAACCTATGATGGAAAACCTCAAGGCCTTGCCTGGGGAACTAGCTTTCTAAGTGTAGAATATTTGCTGCTCCCCCCTTACCCTCCCAGTCCTGAACAGACAGGCCTTTAGCTATTCATGGGTAGAAGGAATTCTCAAGCCTTCAACTGGACTGAAATGGCTAGGCTATTTGAATTGAGTAGGTTGGAATTTTCTGCTATGACGCTTTCCCATCAAGCATGAACTTTTCGTTTAAATGTTGTCATCTTTATTCCATCTTGCTCTGTGGAACTGGAAAGATGACTAGTTCCCGTGGACATCCAGGATACAGATAGGCCAAAGTTCCAACTGAGGCCCAACCAAGGTGCCTGATGGGTTCTGGATCCCTTGGCACTTTGTTCTTGAAGAGACAGTAGATGGCTAACAGAAAGGCTAATGTGGTTTTCCTTTTATGAATACAATAAATACACACCATGTAGTATCATCAGTCCTTAGCCCCCAGCCATTGCCACATTCTGAGTTCTGAGCTCTGTCTTCAGGTGTGGGGAATGGGAATACCATGAGAAAGTTCATGGTTCTATGACGGTGCTAAGGCATAGTCCCACTGATAGAAGGGAACGATACCCATTGTTTAAAGGTGCACACACCAACTGCAACCTTTTTCTTTGTCTCAGTCAAGAACAATCTTTGTATAAAGGTGTCCACATGTGTGATGGCAAAGGCGATTCCCAAGTGTTTCTCGTGTAAGATGTTTGACTCTATGGCATGGTCCTGAAGGTGACGTGCTTGGTGTGGGGCTCTTGCTTACTTACCTGAGTGTTTTCTGAATAGAATTAGTGAGAATGAGTCATGAATGAAGCCATGGGCAAAACAAAGACCAATGACTACTTACTATAGGACACATTCAGTCCAATTGCCAACCTGCCAACCGTGGGAAGCTAAGCTAAAACCAATATTAGAGACAGAGCCATGGCTTGAGAGACAGACAAAAACATTACCTAGGGTCCCATGGGTGGCTTTGTATTCTTATCAACCACATCTGGTACCTTAGCAAGCAATGCAAAGACAAGAAAGCTAGTCATGGTTGGTGCCTCCCTCATAGGGAAGTTTCCATATTGCCATTCTCACAAGATTTCCCTGTTGGCAGAGTGCATCTTGATGCCTTCTTGGTAGAGATGAAGGCAATACCCTTGATCTGACCTGGCTGTGCTGACCACACATTGCAAGGGTCAGCTAAAGCATAGATTAGACTCATGGGCCTCTCGAGCCCAAGGAGATCTTTTCAGTTATAGTCAAGAACCACTTTAATCCACACAGATAGTGCCCAACTTATCTTCCACAGCAAGTTTTCCACTCGAGGATACTGAGGAACCCATCCATTTCTAATAAGAACCAGACTTTGTACCTTGGATCTTATTCTGTTCCAGCCTTGCAGTTTGCTGACTAATTCTCTTCCAGGATGCCGTTGTAGCAAGTCACTATTCCCCAGAGCAAATCACAGTGGGAGCAGGCTGTGCTATGACCTTCAGTAGATTAGGTGTAGTGCATGCACTTAAGATGTTCTCAACTTACAACTGATGTTTCAGGATGTGACCCCATTAGAAGCTGAAGAGTCTAAATTCTCATAAACAATTCTGTAAACAGAGAAAAGCAGAAACTTCACAAAATCCTTTCTGGATATCTTGGGATTTGTCTAACAAAATTAAATTTCTTTATTTCCCCATGAATTAGATACCACATAGAAAAAGAATCTCAGTACATAATCAAGATTAGGCCACTATTCTAATATCTCAGTGATGTTTGTCCCAAAATAGTCAATACTGCTTAACAACAAAACTATAATTCCAAATCTTCTAGAAGAAAAACTGCTTGGAAAATGCAGGTAAACATAATTGCACAGAGGGGGAAAAGCCTCCTGCCTGGTAATATTAGTTGGTAGAGTCAAGACAGACTTGAGCTCACAGTCCTTAAGACTTCACTTGATACAAAACTGATGTGTGTCCTAGAACAATGGCAAAGGCTTGGTTTCCCAATGGCTTCTTCATAATCAAGTTGTTTCTCTAACCAATCCCTCTTGCCTGGTGACTGGAACTGTAATGGAAAATTACTCCTAGGTGAAGCCTTGCTCCTTGGTCTAAAATGTGAATTTATCTTCTACATCCTCAGAGTGATTCTTCCCTTTCTTTATATTCCATGTGCTATCTCTGACTAAGTCATGGGACATCTGGACTGAGGGACAAGACGCTTTGGGACTTGGTGAATGTGCTCTCTCTCCCTTCCTGGTCACTCTTCTTACCACTTAGTGTAGGTTTTGAGCTCTGGGTCAGAGCTGACCAGAGGAGAGTGAGAGTCAGAGACCTGGCCTTCATTTAGTGTCTCTCTCTTTAATTGGTTCCTTCTGTGTTAAAACTAGAGAAACTAATCGGTCATAGTGGCACAGGCCTTTAAGCCTGGCAGGTGGATGTCTCTGATCTCTTTGAGTTCAACGTCAGCCTTGGTCTATATGTCAAGTTCCAAGACAGTCAAGGCTAAATAGAGACACCTTATCTGAAAGAAAAAGATAGATGATAGATAGATAGATAGATAGATAGATAGATAGATAGATAGATAGACAGACAGATAGATAACAGAGATCATAGTAGTAGAAAGGAAGACTAGCAGGGCCTGTATACCACCGCCACTTCCCTGCTGGGAGAGGCCACCATACTTGGCTTGGTTTGCACATCTACCCTGAGCTTGCCACTGTTGATCAGCCTCTGCACCCCAGGAGAGGCGCAGGAAGAGACAGAAAGCAGATGCCTTCTCAGTGTTGCGACTTATGCCAAAATTAGATTTAAAAATAGCACAGTGACCATGCCTGGTTGCAAATGTTCTTTGCTCGGGAATTTGGGAAATGAACTAATTAAGACCTAGGCAGCTCCACACTCTGCCTCCGATGCTGCCAGCTGATGGTGCTAATAGCAAGCTGTTAGTCCAAACAGGAAGAAATACCCCATCCCACCCCTGGCACCTGCTCTCCTGCCCCCTTCCCCACCCCACCCCCCAGGGTTTATAGCTTGGCTCCACAAACTTGTTTTGTTCTCGAGTGTATGGCTTCTGGTTTAAATGGAAATTCCAAAAAACATTTTAATCACTTTGACCCTCAAGACAGGGTTTCTCTGTGTAGTCCTGGACCCTGAAGAATTTTTATCTTTGATACATCACTATTATGTATTCCCCATATCCAATAATTCTTTAACTTCCCCAGAAGGAACAAAATTCTCTAAGAAGTATCTGGGGTATAAAAATCTAATGCTATCTCAAAGGGGTTGAAGTGAGGTGGGGGAGGGGAGGGAGTGATTTTGGTGTCCGTAGTGGTTTTATTTGTTGCCCTCCCCCTCCCTTTTTTTTTTAGAAAGAGGCATTCTTAGAGGAAACCAGTTAGCCACCCTTCCAGGTTTCCCTCCTAGTTCCCGCTACTACAGATCTGTATTGATATATCTGCCTGTTCTGACCGTCTCACAGCTACAGTCAGGAGCAGGTGGTGCCTTGTGTGATCTCTTTTACTTAGTACAATGTGTCCAAACTTCATCTTTGTAGCTGCCTACAGCAACATTTCTCCTTTTCCCTTGTCAAATGCTACTACATTGTTTAGCTAGGCTACACTGGCCGTTTGTTCAGCAGGTTTGGGTTTTTGTTTTGGTTTGGTTTTTGTGGTGGTGGTGGTGGTGGTTTTTGCTACCACAAATGGCACTAGGTGTAAGATTTTGTATACAAGTTATCATGCAAACAGATTTTCATTTCCTTTGTGTGTAGTATGTTACTTGGAAACATACTTTCTTGGGAAAGTTACCAATCTTTCCCAGGGTGGCTGCTACACCTTGGGTTCTACCTAGCAATGGATTCAGGTCCCACTCTGCCAGGCTGCTCGCCAGTACTCCTTCTCCAGCCTTCTGATGCAGCAGTCACAGTGCAGATGATGTCGTACCTCACCATCCTCTCTGATTGAGCTTCCTTAGTGATTCATGCCACATGGCATATTTTCATGAACAGACATAATGGCCAGGCCATGTCTGTATCTTTTTTTTTTCAAGAACTGCCCATTTAACTGTTAGCCTATTTTAAGCTGGGATGTTTGTTTTATTACTGGATTGTGTTATTTATATATTTGGAATCAGATTCTTGATAAGATAAATGACTCACGACTCCTTCGTCCCAGGATTATGCACTGCCTTT